CCCTGATGCTGGGAGGGATTGGGGGCAGGAGGAGAAGGGGACAACAGAGGATGAGATGGCTGGATGGCACCACCGACTCCATGGGCATGAATTTGAGTAAACTCTGGGAGTTGGTGATGGACAGGGAGGCCTGGCATCTGCGATTCATGGGGTCGCAAAGAGTCGGACACGACTGAGCGACTGAACTGAACTGATCCTTAATCTTCCTCCTGTGTTTCAGAGAAAGGACTGCCATGTCCCAAGGGCTTTTTTGGTCAGATGCGGTTGGAAGTGTATGCAGTATTCTTGACCTTTCTTATATCTGACCAGGTCCATCTGTGAATGACTACAGGAAGGAAGAAATTGGCACCTCCCCTCCAGAAGCTGACCAGATACAGGAAATGTTTGACTTTACCTCCTCCACCTTTAGTATAAAAGAAGTCTGATCTAACTCCTGGCTTGTTGAATAAAGACATTATTTCTTGCCCCAAATAAACCAAAAATAATAATAATAATAGATGTGACTGCTTGTTTATGCAATACAGGTGACCCTTCTTAGACCATGACTAACTGGGGTGGGTTCTTACCAAGGTCCCTGTTGAGACAAAGGAGAAAGAATTCACTTTGATCTATGATTCCTAGCTAAGTGGAAAGCTGTATCCAGAGTAGCATTTTAACCCCAAGTTCAGTGCCATGAATATGTCCTACTTCTCTCTGTTTGTCAGAAGCATATCTGTTCCTTCCTCTAAAGGAAGCTCCACAGTCACAAATATCAGAAGTATGTATTATATGGCCATTAACTGTTTTAATCCTAAGATTAACACTTGAGAAAACAATTCAAAATATATCTGTTTAATGTAAATACAAACAAGAGGTCTTTATTTTAACATACATGACTCTCCAATCCTTTGCTATAATTTTATGAATTCATTTATTTTGGGCAGGTTTTCTTCACTAGAGTATAACCATTGTAAAGGCATAAAATAGATGTTTATTGAATATTTGTTAGGGAGTTAAATGAATAAATAAAGTCAAAGGTGACAAGAATCAAAAAAGAGGCAGTAGCATGAGCAGATAGGATTCAGGATAGCTAAAATTCTTAGCCTTATTCATATTAATGTAGTATTTTTAGGTTCTTTTAGAGACCATGATATGTTTTTCTTCAGTCAGTACAAGAGGGAAGTCCATTTCTCTCAGCTTTTTTTGAGATGGGGAATTGGGCATAATGAAGTTGAGTGGAAGGTGAAGTTCATACACTTGTGATAGAATTGGAATTGTAATTTAAGTCTCCTGAATCACCATTTATTGAACCTTTCAAAACGTGAACTCTATCAATTTAGGAACTCTGTCTTTTCATCTATGAATTGGTAACTATACTATTTAGGAAAATGCAAAGGTAAAATCAACAAAACTTATGAGCCTTCAGGAGGCAAATATTGCTATTACCCACGATATAGTTGGAGACACTGTATTTTAGAGGGAATAAGAAACCTGTTTGTAAATAGTAAATGGTGGAATGAAGATTTGAGCCCAATTCTGTTTGAATTTAGTCCTTGATCTGTTGTTAATCAGTCTACTAAATTAAAACATGAATATCTTTCGCTGGTTTCCCTGGTGGCTCAGATGATAAAGGATCTGCTTGCAATGAAGAAGACCTGGGTTCAATCCCTGGGCTGGGAAGATCCCCCAGAGAAGAATGGTTTCCCACTCCAGTATTCTTGCCTGGAGAATTCCACGGACAGAGGAGCCTGGCAGGCTACAGTCCATGGGGTCACAAAGAGTCAGACACAACTGAGCAATTTCACTTTTCATTCCTACAAGTTCAAAGTCAAGTCTGCCATAATGGCATTTTCAAAATATTTCCACTATTTGGAAAATAGTGAGTAAACTAAAATACTGACTAAACTAAATCCCACTTCCCTCTTTTAGCTGATGATGTCATGTACTAATGTTCAAAGGTCCTGAAACCGTTTGGTGTAAACTCTTAGTTCCTTTTCCCTATAGCTTACCTTCGCCCACTCTCAGGACTTTATCTGTCTTCTCAGGAGATTTATGCCAATTTCATTCTAAAGTAAATTTCCTTTCCTAATTTTTTTTCTCCGTGTTTGATTTCTAGCTATAACTAGCTCTTTCCACTTTTGCCATATAGTCACCACCATTATCTCTTAAAAACAGAGTCCCAATATTCTGCTCTTCTTTAAACTAACACTGATGAAGGTTCAGCTAATACCGTCTGTCACTGTTTACTCTAAATTATACTCTCAGAAGAGTTGCATGGCTTCAGAGTAAAGTTATTCCAAACTGTATCTTTCCAAGCAACCCACAGGACTCCAGGCTATTCTGTCTTTGAAATCACAATGTATACATTGCAAATATGATTGCAAATATCTTGACAAGGTATTCATGGTATGACACAAACTAGCATTATAGCTCTATTTCCCACTTCTATGGTATGTGAAAGTATGTGAGTGTGTATATAATATGTGTGTGTGTATATATATATATATATATATATATATATATATATATATGGCTCATGCTCAGTCGTGTCCAACTCTTTGTGACCCCAAACACTGTGGCCCTCCAGGCTCCTCTGTCCAGGAGATCTATAAGGCAAGAATAATGGAGTGGGTTGCCATTCCCTTCTCCAGGGGATCTTCCCCACCCAGGGATCGAACTCAGATCTCCTGCATTGCAGGCAGATTCTTTACCACTGAGCCACCTGGGAAGCCCTATGCATATAAATTATCAAGTAAATATAATTATCAAGTGTATATAAATTATCAAGTGAATAAATATGCACATGTGTGCTCAGTCATATCTGACTCTTTGTGGCCCCACGGACAGTAGCCCATCAGGTTCCTCTGTCCATGAAATTTTCTGGGAAAGAACACTGGAATGGGTTGCCATGCCCTCCTCCAGCGGATCTTCCCAACCCAGCAATCGAACTTAGGTCTTCCACACTGCAGGCAGATTCTTTACCATTTGAGCAACCAGGAATCCCAAGAATGCTGGTGTTGGTAGCCTATCCCTTCTCCAGGGGATCTTCCCAACCCAGGAATCAAACTGGGGTCTCCTGCATTGTAGGTAGATTCTTTACCAGCTGAGCAACCAGGGAAGACTGTGTTTGTGTATATACATATATGTATATGTATGTATATACATATATATATATATATATATATATGATCAAATGAAACATTGTCCATGTCTTTCCTATATTGTTACATCTTTTTGAAATTATTCAATTTCTCCTAATCTATAAATTCTCCATTATTCTAAGATAACTCTAAGAACCCTGTGTGCTGTGATATACTTAACTATACTCTTACCAGAAATATTCTTTTATTACTTCTGAAGCTTGAAACAGATTTTCCACTGTCTTTACTTACAAACGTGTGTTATCCGCTTGTTCTAAATAAAAAGCCTCTTGAGCCTCTTAAGGATAAGGGCTATGTGTAACTAATTTATCAAAACAAATTTTCAAATTTCAGACAAGAACATCAACTATTGATGAAATGTCAAGACAACATGTATAACTCACATTATTATACTCTGCTTATCAATAGGATAGATTATAACATATACCTGGTAACTATTACATTCAGGGTATTTCTATAATTTACATTTAAGCCTGAAGAAACCTCTAATATTTTTTTTATTTTGAGTCTAAGATAGGACTGGGTCTATGGTAACATGAAGAGCATCACCATTTGTATGTTAATGGGTTAAAATATAAGCAGCGCTTGAGGCTCATCCTAGTGACCTGAGTACTTCCAAAGAATAAGGTAATAGCATTCCCAGTAAATACTGAGATTAGTCCATATGAGCTGACTGAACTTCACCATTATCAATTCCAGCCTTGGATATCAATTGATGTTCTCAGTCTTGGAAGCAAGGTAATTAGGAAGTGACAGTCTCATGAACATTTTAGTTCCAGTTTATTATAAGATTCCTAATTTTGCATGGTCTTGACAAAGGATACAACCAAACTCTCAACGAAAAGATGTAATATGCCTATTAATTTTACTCATCAATTGGTCATGATATACTGCTTGTCTTGGTGAGAATAAAAACATGTGTTTTCTCTCTCCTGCATCATTTAATCGACATTTACATATATTTTGTTTCATTTCAGGCTAAAAGACCCCTTCTTTTGATTCAATTTCCTTTTGCAGTTTCCATCTATGAGTGATGTTCCATGTTCAATTGTTAGATGAAATATAACAATATCTTTAAAGCAAAATTATCTCAAACTTTTTTCTTAAGTTCTTATCAAAATATCTATTTTAATTTGTAGCTTTCAATAAATCCATCAAAAACATCTAAATGAATATATCTAAATGATATATATATTCATATATTCTAAATATCTATAACATCTAAATGAATATATTAAAAATATAAGCAAACTTCTATTAAAATGTTCTAAAAGTAGCACACACACCCAAATTCTGTACATCACACAAATTGTATAAATAAAATCAAGGAAGACAGAGTCAATGTAATGTGTAGCATTCATGTTCATACCTAATTTACTTGTGCACATTAATTCAGACATTTCTCTTGAATATGACCCAGCAGTGGAAACATGTTTTAGTATTTAATCGTTTTATATGGTCTAAGTGGGAAAGTCTATGCAGGTACATGTGATTATAAGCTACATACACAAAGACTCATATTACACCAAATATCTTCTAATTATATCTTATAGCTAATTAGGATTATATTAATATAGTAGTATACCTTACATTAAATTAAGATTACATACATTATATGCAGAGAATCAGAAAAACCTGATGAGAAAATAAAAACATATAAAATATCTTAAAAGACATCTTTATCCTTGAATTCTAATTGCCAATTATTATGTCCAATATAACAAATTGAGAACAAATTTCTTAGAGTTACTCAATAAATTTAAAAGTCAATGAAATGTGACTACAACAGGAAATATTTATTTCCTCATTAGGATATGTTTGTTTAATAATTAAAGTAAATAAACTGAATGTTTCAAGTACCTTTTCCAGACCTTCTTCCTTGAGGCTGATCACGTCTAAATCAAAATCTGTTCGCAAGCCATTGGTTTTATTAAAAGTTATTCTGCCTGTGAGGCCTTCCCAATGTGCCTGTGGGGAAAATAAACAAGCAAACAAAAACCATAGATTATTAAATATGTAAAGGATGAGAAGATAAATTTTTTTTTATACAAGGAAAAAGAAACACTATTTTGTTTACTTCTCATAAATTTACATTGCTGTCCATTTTTAATATTTAACATTTTATTCTCTTCTGAACTTTGAAGGATGTTTTTTCCAAATACGCTATACAAGTCTCAGGAAAAATTTATTGTAAATTTTTCATTTTAAATACTGCATTTGCTGAGTATAACCTTCCTTTATGAGAAATGTGTGGCTTATATATAAAATAGCAAAGCTCTTTCAGCAAAGTGAGAAGAACTTGAAATAGTAAATACCTCACTGGGGATTACATGTAGAAATACTATTATAAAATACCACTCCTAACATCAAACTAATACAAAATAAATATTTTATTACAATAAAGAAACTGGATCTAGGAAACATTTTGTTATATTACTTCAATCATATACTTTATACTTAGAATAATTAACATTGCTTTATTATACCCTGTGTGACACTGGGAAAAATGTATCGAAATTACTTCACATCAATGTATACTTCCTATAGGAGCATCTCTTCAGGTAGAAAGAGATGAGAATATAATAATCCAGATACACAATGGATTATCCCTCAAGAGTGAGCAAATATCTAGGCTTTTTAACACAAAAAGATTTCTCATTCTGCTGGCTATATAGCCCAAATTAGATGTTATATATGTCATTTGCAAATAGCTTGGAAAAATAGTTACATGTGAAAATTTTAAATAATGTAACATATACTTACAATTATGTTTGAAGATATACTGAGACTCAAAAGAGGTAAAACCCAGTAGATAAAGGGTAACATTTCAACAAGTATTACAAATGGATATAATTATTACTACATTTCTTAGGCTCCATGTGTTTCTTGGATACTTATATGAAGAAATTCTAAAATAATTTTACGTTAATAAATTATAAGTGAATTTTTAAAAAAACTATAATACATATCTCAATGCATATGGCAAAAGGTCATCCTTGAGGTTACCATGTGTCAACAGGTGTCCAGTATGGAAGGAAAACATTTGTTAACTTTTTCCAAAGAAAATAACTGTGGGCAGTGAACAAATATCTATAGTTGTATAAAAATAGGAAATGGGATCAAGAAGTACAGCAGTAGAAGTGCAGAGTAGTAAAAGAAATCTGGGCTAAAGACAGCACAGGGAAATGTACATCAATGAAACTGTGCAACTAATAAGACCAATCACAAATTAAATTCTGAACTTTCTAGCAACCAAAGCAAAGAAGAAAATATGATGAAAACACAAGATACAAGACCCATAATTTAAGACACATCAATTGCCCAGGAGAAATTCAGCTCTTCTTGGTACTGAAACCTGAGGGAAATCCCTCTTTTTGGTCTTCATAAGAGAGACCCTATGTGATTTAGTGGACAAGATCCTCAATAACACCCTACAATGAATACAATAGCGAATTACAGTTTCTCTCAGGGTTTTTTGACACATGTCTCAATTGTCAAGTGCTTCATTCAGAAAAAGCTCTTCAACTAGCCAAACCAATGTGCTATGTTAGCAATCCTCTGAGACTTAGTTTTACACCAGAAGTAAATGCAGAATGTGGAGTAATAAGAGGACAATATGCTGTTACAGGACTATCACTCCACCTATCTCAGAGTTCAGTAATAATTAGACAAGGAACTCACGAATATTCTTTGCCGATGTCCTAATGGTTCTTAATTATGATTCTGTTTGCACTTTTATTTTCATGATAAATAATTTATTCTATGATGAGCTGATGATTTCCTTTAAGCAATAAATGAAAAATCTTATATATGGTAATAACAGCTGTGACTTTTCATAGTGAAAATTAAATATTCATAGTTAACCTTTCATATAAAAACTCATAAATCAAATGTACTTTAATAAAAGATAAAAAACTCTTGCTGTATCAAATAAAAAATATCCTTAGCTGACAAAGGTATTTCCTTCATGAGAAGATGGATAGGAAGAATATGTGTGTGAGGTAAATGTGTGAGTTTGCATGTTTGTGTGTGATATTTAAGAATTCTCCCTTTTAAAACTGGTCAACCACCTGTAAAAGAATGAAACTAGAACACTTTCTAACACCATACACAAAAATAAACTCAAAATGGATTAAAGATCTAAATGTAAAACCAGAAACTATAAAACTCCTAGAGGAGAACATAGGCAAAACACTCTCCGACATAAATCACAGCAGGATCCTCTATGACCCACATCCCACAATTTTAGAAATAAAAGCAAAAATAAACAAATGGGACCTAATGAAACTTAAAAGCTTTTGCACAACAAAGGAAACTATAAGCAAGGTGAAAAGACAGCCCTCAGATTGGGAGAAAATAATAGCAAATGAAGCAACAGACAAAGGATTAATCTCAAAAATATACAAGCAACTCCTCCAGCTCAACTCCAGAAAAATAAATGACCCAATCAAAAAATGGGCCAAAGAACTAAACAGACATTTCTCCAAGGAAGACATACAGATGGCTAACAAACACATGAAAAGATGCTCAACATCACTCATTATCAGAGAAATGCAAATCAAAACCACAATGAGGTACCATTACACGCCAGTCAGGATGGCTGCTATCCAAAAGTCTACAAGCAATAAATGCTGGAGAGGGTGTGGAGAAAAGGGAACCCTCTTACACTGTTGGTGGGAATGCAAATTAGTACAGCCACTATGGAAAACAGTGTGGAGATTTCTTAAAAAGCTGGAAATAGAACTGCCATATGACCCAGCAATCCCACTTCTGGGCATACACACCGAGGAAACCAGATCTGAAAGAGACATGTGCACCCCAATGTTCATCGCAGCACTGTTTATAATAGCCAGGACATGGAAGCAACCTAGATGCCCATTAGCTGACGAATGGATGAGGAAGCTGTGGTACATATATACCATGGAATATTACTCAGCCATTAAAAAGAATTCATTTGAATCAGTTCTAATGAGATGCATGAAACTGGAGCCCATTATACAGAGTGAAGTAAGCCAGAAAGATAAAGACCATTACATATGTAGTACATACATAAAGACCAACACATATATATGGAATTTAGAAAGATGGTAACGATAACCCTATATGCAAAACAGAAAAAGAGACTCCGATGTATAGAACAGACTTGTGGACTCAGGGAGAAGGCGAGGGTGGGATGTTTCAAGAGAACAGCATCGAAACATGTATATTATCTAGGGTGAAACAGATCACCAGCCCAGGTTGGGTGCATGAGACAAGTGCTCGGGCCTGGTGCACTGGGAAGACCCAGAGGGATCGGGTGGAGAGGGAGGTGGGAGGGGGGACCGGGATGGGTAATACATGTAAATCCATGGCTAATTCATTTCAATGTATGACAAAAACCACTACAATGATGTAAAGTAATTAGCCTCCAACTAATAAAAATAAATGGAAAAAAAAAAAAAAGAATTCTCCCTTTTTATCCTTACTATGAGCATACTTGGTCTTAAACTGTAATAGACGTAATTAGAAATGATACATTGCCATAAAAATGGTTGTACTATGCAACATGAAGTAAACTTTGCACTTTTATGACTCTATATATTCTGTTTTATGTTAACGCTAATACAATTAAAATAACTAGATGTTATACTTAGCAACCATAGCTCTAAAAAGTAATTCTTGAAAATGTACAAATTGGGTATAATTTAGTGTAGTGCAAAGGGCATTCAAGTTAAAAATTCATGGCATATTTTGTGATCTATGTTATAAATATTCTTTAAGTATCTATTTTTGCACACAAATGAAAAGTAACACAATCGGATATGACAGAGCAAAACAACAACAACATACATAAAGATTCCGAATGGTGAGGGGCAAAAATGTTGTAAATCATAAATCACTGATTCTCATCTGTTCACACAACCATAGATATTTTGTAGAAATTCATTTGCTTACCATGTAATTTTTCCCCTGCTTCCATATTATTTAGTAAAAATGCTAATTTTGCTTGGATGGGAAAAATAAGAAAGCTTAATTTAGAAGATACAAGTAGAAGATGACCTGTGAGGGAAACTGCAATAATCTCAATTCACTCAACTTGAGGACAAGTGAGGCAGAGCAGGCGTACCTGTCCTGACTCACCTCTTTAATCAGGCTCATGAAGCGGGTCCCAAAGCGCCAGGGCTTGTGCCGATTGCACTGCAAGGAGCTGACCGTCATCTGGGGAAACTGCTGGACGCCCACCGACACGACGTGCACAGCGTCATACATGAGGGCAGCGTCAGTCTTAAAACGAGAGAAAAGGAAAAGTGGCGTCAACACAACATGGGAAACCCATGACAGGCGTTTGCAAGTAGAGGTAAAGAGCCAGTGAGCGGGAGAAATACCCAGTGTTTCTTCATGTAAGGGAGAAAACAATATTTCCACATGCTGTGGTTCTCTTAAAGAAGCTACTGTGATCAAATCCCTTCACAGGCTCCATTAGCACATCTGACCTACCCTCCCTTTCCTAAGGCGATAACATAATTTCATATCATCCCACTATCTCTGCTGAAGTAGGAAATGTGTGCAGACATGCATTATTTCATTTTTTGTCCCACCCTTTGTCTCTAGCTTACTCTGTTCCTCTGTACACGTGTGTGCATGCACATACACAAGGAATGCAAATATGAACATTTTACTGGTTCCTTAAATTACATATTGTGTATAAAAGTAAATGAGTAAATAATTTCCTTTCACAGAAAGAAACAAGAGATTTGAAGAGATTTACCTAAAAAGCTTAAAGATATAAACCCTAATTTTTCCTGCAATTCAGCTTTTCAAAAGGTTCAGTCTCAGAAATGATGATACAGTTTTGAATCTCAATACATGCGCTAATCCCTTTTCAAGAAACTAAGCTTAATCCCGTGTGCTGTTTTCTTTTCCCAAAATTTCCATATGAATAAAAGTTCATTTTGGCTTCTCAAGCAAAATGAATATGAATTCTACTGTGTTTGCACCTGCACAAATGACTGGACACTTTAGAGGTGAATGATAAAAAATAAAATGTTTCTAAGTCATAACAAACCAGAGGCTCAGTAAGCGTCAAGCGCTGTGTTAAATGGGCCCTCACGTTGTGTCTGACGGATCTATGCCAGGCTCACTACCTACAGAGGAGAGCCGCGCTGACAACGAGGGTAGCAATGCACTTTGGGCCATCTGCTTGGCATGCTTTGGAATAAAAGCATATATTTCCTCTTCTCATTCACACAATTAGTGAGCTGTGAAATGAATTCCAAAATGAATAGGAACCCTGTAGATTATAGCGTTTGCCACAATACAATACGAAATGAGCACACACAGTAGCTTTCATGCAAATGGATCCTCAGGAACTTAACCACATAAAATGGAAGGCGGCTAAAGAGCCCAGTGCAATGACAGAACATAATAATAATACCTTTTTATAGTTCATAAATCTTTGGGGAATATAGCTCAGATTCATAACCCTCGTTTGGTAAATACCAGCTGACTACTTTCGCACACTGATGGCTGCGGAGTGAAAACTAGAAGAGTGGTGTTGATACAGGCACATATCATGAGCCTGAGGATCAGGCTGATATTTATCTTTGGCCTGAGTTAACACTCAGAGGACATATCGCATACACCACACTGGTGGCTATAAAAAAAAAAAGCTACCAAGATATGAAAGACATGTTTGATTTTTAAATAAAATCAATTTTTTAAAAGTCACTATCAACAAATGTATAGAGATATGAACACTTTAAGAGACTACTAGAGAGAAGATAAAGGGCAATATTGCAAGTTGCACCACAAGGGAATTTTTTAAATATCCATGTTCTTTTTAGTCCAGTTATTTCTCTTTCTGGAATTTGCCCTGAGAAAATAAAAGATAAAAACAAAAGCTACACACAGTATTTGTTTTAGTAAATAACAAAGAGTATAAATCAATAAATGTTCAAAATAAGGAAACACAGAAAATCACGATGACACTTTATATAAACATTAAAAATCATGTTTTAAAAAATAATCATTTAGATGAGAAACTGCATGAGACATAAAGCTAAGTATAAAAACAGATTATACAGAACTATATTTCTAGCATTTGTGTACTTAACATATATGCTATTTAACTTATTTCTCACAATAATAATTGAGAATTATTTCCATTTTTCCTGATATTGTTGATTTCCTGATATTGTTTCCATTTTACAAATGATGAAACCTAGGCTGAGAGATGTTACGTAACTAACAAAGTCATACAACTAAGAAGTGGAGAGGCCCAGATTCAAACAGCCTCATTGGTCATAGAAAGTATTCTTAAACATCATACTCGGCCTATTATGTGAATAACAATTAAAAAAAAATTAAAGTGAAGAAAATACACTAAAATGATACTACTGATTACTCTTGGGAGACAGAAGTGAGTAAAATTTATATTTTTCTCCTTTTCCTTTATTTTTTACAGTTTATTTTTTAAGATGGAGGTTTTACTAAATACCATTGCAATTATTACCAAGATGAAATTTTGTCATAAAATAGCTAAAAGAACACAATCTCTGCTATTCCTATTACGCTGCCAGGACTTGCTGCCTTATGTGATCTTATGTGACCTGTATGAAAATTCTAGAATAGTAACCTTATCTATTAATAAAATGACAACACTAGGAAAGAATTTTACCTAATTAAAAGTTTGAAAATGATTTTTGGTACATAATTTCAGCTTCTGGATCAGAGTGTATACTAGATGACAATAAAACTATTTAAGATCTGTGATTTTAAATGTAATTGCAAAAGGGAAACAGCATTTATTAAGCTATAAGGTAAAGATAAATATTAGAGAAAAATTGTAGTTTAAAAGTTGCTGTTTAAATATCTTCTTGAATTTCCAGTTTAAAATATGCTGATTTATTATAAAGTAATAAACAGAACTTCTGAAACTACTCTCTATGATATTTTCATCTGCTCAGAGTGCTTTTTTATCCTACTTTAAAACTAGTTGCTTTATGTGATAATATGGAATTGTTTTCCACTTAGACTTGATATCCTGTCAGACTTAACTTTACTATCTTCTTCACAAAACTGTATATATGTAAATTCTTTCAACTTTGAAAACTTTTGAGAAAGCTCCAGCTTATCAAAAATGTTTTCCTTATTTTCACAAGAATGCATATGCTTGACAATTTGCCTTAATTTAATAACATTATTAATGTTAATTTAGTATTTACTTTTGTGTGAGGCACTTGCCCTAAATCGTTTTCTTTAATTCTTATAACCATCATGCAATTGGAAATTCATTGATGAATTTAATTCCTGTATAAAATAGGAAGTTAACGCAGAGGACAGTTAAACAACTGGTCTGAAAATCATAGCATGTAGAGATGGAGCTGGATTTGAATCTAAAAATACTACCCAGAGTTTACATCCTTCTCTCTAGTTTTTGTTCAGTGTTCAACTTTTAATAAAGAAAAACAATTTAAAGTTTCAAAATATAATAAATATCAATATGCACTTGAATACATTAATCTATATATATATAATTTTTGATAAACAGTATTTACATAATGAAAGTGCAGTATAAAGTAAGGAAAATAGATTGTGAAGAATTGGTAAATATAAATTCACAAAAAATAAATACACTGATGCATGAGATTGAGTTAGTTAGAAGGTTAGTATTTTTTTTTTTTTTTAGAAGGTTAGTATTAACCAGGAACAAGGTTGTGAAAGTAGATTTATTCTATACAATTGCTGCTCAGTAGATTTTCACAAGGCAAGGGTCCAAGAGTATCTTTTAAGATCAGGCTGAAGAGGCTTCCAACTCTAAACTGTAGAATTTTATTGAGCTGTTCTGGCTAAGTCTTCCACTCTCTCATATTAACTCTATAATCCTTTGCCTTGACTCTTCTCTAGAGGGAAAATATGAGGAAAGATGGGAGGAGTGGAGGAGATACATGGGTTCATTACTTTGTCAATATTTTAATAATATTACTAACAAGCTACATTGCACACTTACTCTATGCCACACAACTGTGTCAATTTCTTCACATGAATTTCATGTAGACCCTATATTTTAGTTGATACTACTTTTATCAGAGAAGAGAAAACTGAAGTTTAGCAAGTTTGAAGTAATACTCTCAAGGTGTTATCACCTTGAGAAACAAGACTCAGCCAAAACTTAGCTCTTAGAACGACCCTCCAAACTATCATAACAAGATTGGCAGAAACAAGACTCAGACAAAAGATTTTAAAAACAAGATTCAGATATAGTCTAACTCTTAAAACCAGTGTCTTAACTACCATAACCAATTACCTCCCTTAAACCAAATTCCCACTGAAACTATGACAGGCAATAGAAGGGAAACTCACAGCAGTGGATCTCATATTTCTGGAGATCCTGCTGAATACCAGAAAATTATGTCCCATGGAGCCTATCTCTGAGCTGAGATTTAAACAAAAGTTCATTTGTCTTCCAGGTCAATTTTTTTTCCTTACACATCATGGTGAAGTGAAGTGAAGTCGCTCAGTCGTGTCCGACTCTTTGCGACCCCATGGACTGTAGCCTACCAGGATCCTCTCAGTCCATGGGATTTTCCAGGCAAGAATACTGGAGTGGGTTGCCATTTCCAGTTACCTCTAAAAAAACCTTCAGATACATAAACATAAATGTGAATTAACCAAATCAATTAAAATAGAGTATGTGTACAATCTGGTTATTAAAATCCATAGAAGGGGGTTAGAAAAAGTTGTAGTTATTTAGATCCTAAACTGCACAGACAAAAGCTAGGCAGAGAAAATAAATAAATAAATCAGCAAGGAAGACAAAACAATTTATCCTATTTTCTTTCAAGTATAATTACTTATATATAAATAGATCATACTTATTGTGTGGAAAGTTAGAATGTCTGTTCACCCTAGGAATATAGCCCAGAAGGAAGTTCAGGCTAGGTAGGTACAGTCAGATCCAAGTGCAGCCCTCCCTATTTCACTGCCAGGTCAAGCATCTATATGAGCCCCCTTGAGACCCTATCTCAGATTAGACTGGAGTTGGAACTTTTCCTTTCCAAAATAATTTAGTTAATCTACAAAGCATGTCCATCAGTCAGAAACTTGTTTTGCAAACCTTTAAAACTCTGCAATATAGTCAGTCCTACATACTTCAGTAAAACAACAGTGATCTTTTTAAATGGGTGTCTTGAAAAGATCACAAGTGCCTTCGCATATATTATAAATATGCATTAACCATCTCCCTAACTTATTGCTGGGTTTATCTTATACCCAGTCTAATTACT